GACGAAGTACACTGCTGAGGGGAGCAGCGGGCGGGCCAGGAGAGGTCTGCCACGCCATGTGGTCACCTCCGGGGCAGGCGGGAATCGAACCCATGCGGAGGTGGCCTTAGCTTCTCAGTGCAGCGCTCTAACCTGCTGCACCACCAGGGAGGGCCCGGATAACTTAACACTTTTGACAATGAAGCTACATCCAAGAAATCATTTATCACTTAAATGGAAGGCCTCGTGATTAGGAAAATATAACACACATTTTACTAATAGTCTAGTAATCTTTAAGATGTTAAGGAGCCTCACAAAGTCTTTTTTGTTGCCATATTGAATTTCAGATGAAAGCTGTTGCTTCATCCATGCTTTAAAAAAATTCTGCAATATTTTAATTAAATTTAAATTTCATTAAATCATCAACCAGGTGGTTAATGTTGTCCTTTTTATATTGTTAGTGGAGATGATGTTTCAGTTAGTCAGTCAGATTATGTTCCAAGCTCTAATCAGTTATTCATTTAGCATCAGATCTATTGCAGTTGGCTGGCTTCTTTAATCAGTGGAGGGAGGACCACCGAGGGAGACTGTTACATGCAGTGCTCAGTGTGGGAAACAAACATGGGACTGTGCTGAATGGGGTGGTGGCTGGGTCCATGGCTTCAGCTGCTGGATGTGTGTCAGCAACTGTGTGCAGCTTTTGTCAGTGTCCTCAGGACCCTATCACCCATAGAGCTGCCTTTCCTACAGCCTTCCAAGGACTGACAGAGGGAGTGCACAAAGGCCTTCTCATTAGGGATCAGTGCAGGATGGGTCAGGCCTGTGTCAGTGTCAGTTTGACCTCTTCCTCCACAAGTGTGAATTCTTTTTTTTTAAAGATTTATTTATTTATACATATAGAACTGGGGTACAGGCCAGAGATGCAGAGGGTGAAAGGATTCACCAGGGACAGAGTAGGGAGCTCCTGTACCTCTGGCCTGTACCCCAGTTCTGTATGCATAAATAAATAAATCTTCAAGAAAATTACAGAATCCATCCATTGATGGGCATTTAGATGGTTTCCATACTTTAGCTCTTGTAAGTAAAACTGCAATGAACAGAAGGATGAATGGGTAAAAACGTGGTATTACATACGCTGTGCAATACTGTTGAGTTATGGAGAACACATGAAGCATTACCATGTGTGACAACATGTATGGCCCCTGAGCATAGTATGCTTAGTAAAGTAATTTAGATAGAGAAAGACAAACCCCAGCTGATTTTCACTCGTGTGGAAAATAAACAAACACACAAACAGAACAAAACCTAATCCTTAGATAGAGAGAGTAGAAGGGTGTTGGTACCAGAGAAGAGGAGGGGGCGGGTCAGACAGGCAAAGGGGCTGATTATACAGTGGAGGACAGAAAGTAAACTGCTGGGGGTGGGTGATCATAATGTAGAATTTATGATTGCTAAGATAGAACAAGCCTGAAACTTATGTAGTGATATAAACCAATGTTCCCTCCCCCAAAATTTTAAAAAGAATCCATGTTTTTGATCAGACCTTCCCCATGGGAGTGGTCTTCATATCTGCTTGGCTTCCACAGCCCCCATCATGGGTATACACTTGTTATTATCCTGTATGATGGCACAGTGGTCAGCTTATGATTTCCCACTTCTTATGGTCCAGCAGCAAACTGCTGAAAATCAAATAAAACTCATGGAGACTGGAATAGCCAATTGAACCAAAAATTTAAACTCTGATACATTAAAATCCATTCAGGTTATTTGTTTTTATTTATTTATGTGTAAAATACTTCCTTTCTATTTTTCAGATGTATTTCCATTTTTTTTGTGGAGTTCCAGACATACTTTGCTCAGGATTATGCACAAACAGCTTGGATCCATTCCATTGTAGACTGCATGACCATGCTCTGTGGTGAGTATTATTTACCAGGGACACACTGTTACTGACTACACTCAAATTGGATCTGACAGTGACCTTCCACTGTTTGTGATTATGAGTTTTCGTAAGTACAGGAAATGGTAAAAGGTGACATAAAGATTATATAAAAAGAAAAGATTGGTCCTATCTTCAGCCAGATCCAACCAGATGTGCACTTGGAATTAATGGTTTTGGTCAATGTCAGATGGAATGGATAGTGAATACCTTTGAAAGGATATGTAGATTTTGTTTTTTTCTATATAGGGAGAAGGTTTTGGACTCTAGTAATGTAAAAGGTCACTGGATACAAAGTGAGCCATTTCTATGTGACCTCCTTAAATGTAGGTCAAGATATGTGCTGCCTTTCAGCTCTTATTGTATTTCCTTGCCATGGGGTTAAAACATTGGCTCATGGATCTCATCATTTATCATGCATAAATCTTCATTCTTAGAGAAGTATTGGAAACTGATTGTATGGTGCAATCAAAAGATCAGCACATTCCCTATGGCTATTATTCCATCTAGGAAACCCCAACTGTGCTATTTAGGCCACCTACAGTGTCTGAAAGTTCTTGTAGTTGCTCAGTCCATCTTCACAGTAGAAGAAAAGTAACCTTGAGATTTTTCTTTTTATAAATGTCAAATTAAAGTTATTAAATTGGTGTCTTAGAGAGTTTTTGAGATTAGGTTAAATTGAAATGATTTATTTACAGACTAGGTCTGTTTAATTATTTCATTTAGATAAATCCTGAGTATTTTAGAACCCCATTCTCTCTCTCTCTCTCTTTACCAGTAAGACCATCATTTGGTTTTCAGGGTGACATAGTTGGTTGCAGACAAGATTGTATGAACACCTAAGAGAGCCATGTTTGTCTTTCTGTTATCTTTTGGAATATAATTTTAGGAATAAATGACCTTTAGTGGCCATGTGAAGCACTGAGATTATGCAACACTCATGCTATATAAAACATACTTAAATTCCCTGCAAAGACTGGAACCTGTTGTACCCAATTACCAGTCACCACTTGCTCACCTGTTGACTCAGAGCATGGACAGAGGTCACAGTATCACCTCCAGGACAGCCACGGGGGGAATATATCTGTCCTGTGATAAACAGAGTTTCAACATCCTGTGAATGTTGAGTTTGGTGTAAATTTGTCACTTTCCAATACCTATAGCAGCAGCAATCTGGAGAAATAGATATATTTTCATCCCTGATAGGCACTGTTTTAGACTGATGGGTAATTTTACACTGCACATTTGAATTGAGTGAGGCCCCAGTTTCAACCTGATCAATACAAAGATCATACTCCACAGATACCCAAAGAATTGGTTCTGCAGATGTTGTTACCAGGAGTAATGGTATTAGCATGAATTGTTCCTCAGAAAGAAATTCATAAGCTTTCCCCACTAACACCCCTGCAACCAGTCAGGGAGACCAAAGAACCACAGAAACAGGCTGAAAGAACTGTGCCCTCGGGGGTCAGGTGTCCTGAATTATACTTCTTGGTGGTCTTGGGCACATCATCTTCAATTGCTCGTTGGTCTCTTCCAACTTTAATTAAACTTTATGTCTGGAAGTTGGCATAACTCTGATAAATTGTTAAACTATCAACAGTAAAATGAGGCCAACCATAATGTCCATCAAACATTTTCCTAGATTTTCTGGGTACTGATTTCTCATTCACAGCATTTCCCAAGCCTGAAAGGAGTGGCAGATTGGAATTTATCTGTGATCTTTCTGGCCTCTTCCTATGTAACACGGCCAGCTCTACACTGCTGCCCTCTTTCCTTCTCCACCATTTAACTGTCATAATTACTGCTAACGGGGCCCTTCCTGGTGGTGCAACTGGTTAGGATGCAGCTCTGCAAGTGAGCTGCAGCTGTTTCACTGTGGGTTCGATCCCTGGCCTCGGAGGTGATCCACATGGTGCAGCAACTTCTCCTGTCTTGTCCACTGCTCTCCTCAGCAGTGTACTTCATTGATCTGCCTGTTCTTCTCCCTGCTCTGTCTCTGGTGAAGCCTCTCACCACCCCTGTACATCTGGCCTGTACCCCAGTGCTGTATGCATTAAATAAATCTTTAAAAAAATGATTGCTAACGGTGCCTGACTAAGACTATATGAAAATACAAGACACAGCTCTGCGCAAGGCACATGGCTTAAACAAAGCATCAGCCCACTGTTTAGAAAACCTCCCCTAGTTGTGGAATCATGACTCTACTGAAATATCAATGTGGCATGAACACTGGAATGCAAATCAGAAGACTTGATCTTAATTTCAGCTTTGCTACTTACTCTTCATGCAACTGTGCACAAGTTGTTTCCTGTCTGCAGTTTTGTCTGTAGAACGAGTGGGGTGGGTTTTATGCTTTAAAGTCCCATCAATTTTACTACTCGGCCAGTGCAATATCATAGTCTTCTGACAGTGCCCTCAAGCCTTTTAATTCATTATTTAATTATTTCTATTTTTTTTTTTTTTTTGTCTATAGCTCCACTTGGGAGTCTTATCAGCAACCACTTTTCCTGCCAAGTGGGAATCATTCTGGGTGGCTTGCTCGCATCCACTGGTCTCATCCTGGGCTCATTTGCCACCAGCCTGAAGCACCTCTACCTCACTCTTGGCATTCTTACAGGTAAGGATATTTTGTACCACTGTGTCATCCTGCCCCATTCAACAATTATCAAGGACATCAACAGAAAAGTAATGCATAAAAATGTGAACTTTGTTAGATCACAGTATTGCCAACCTGGCTTATGTCTATCTACCTGGCAGTTAAAACTGCTGGAAATGCTCTTGATTATACTACTGTAATGACAAAGCTTTACTGCTTTCATTCAGCTAAATAAGTGAGGTGGCAGTTGGCTTTCCCTCTGGTAGCAGAGCATGGCTGAGATTCTGTGTTCAGAAAGAACAAGACATTAGTTACGCACCCCTTTCAGAGCAGTCATTTCCCCAATGTCCTTGCTAAGACATTGCAAAACTATATTTGGTGGTATGGAGTCACTCTTGTTTTATAGTGGGTATCATTGTCCACTCTGGGGATTACAATTTTAAGAAGAAAGTCCCTGGCCCTCCCTGGTGGCTCAACAGGTTAAAGCACAGCACTAAGAAGCCAAAGCCACTTCAGTATGAGTTCGATCCCTGCCCTGGAGGTGACCCACATGGCGTGGCAGACCTCTCCTGACCCGCCTGCTGCTCCCCTCAGCAGTGTATTTCAGTGGATCTGCCTGTTCTGCTCCCCACTCTGTCTCTGGTGAATCCTCTCACTGCCCCTGCACCTCTGGCCTGTACCCCAGTTCTGTATGCAAAATAAATAAATCTTTAAAAAAAAGTCCCTTGTGAATATTACTGTACTAAATATTCTCCCTCAGTGTCCTAGAAGTATATTTCAGAGAACCAGAGTGACATTGTAGAAGAGAAGGAACACATGTGCTTTCCATGAGTCCCAGGTGTGGGGTCAAGGTGAAGTGGTTAGTGGGACTGGAGTAGCAGCTGCCCCATCTCAGAGGGGTGAGAGGAGGACAATTAACTCCTCTCTGGGTACTGTTCTCAGGGTAGCAAGAGCAGGCCACGAAAGGATATAATTGCACACTGAGGTTATAAATCTAGCTGTCAACTAAAAGTTGCGTCTGTCCCTGGTAACCCAAAGGGCCTGACAGGGTACCCTGTCCTGTCATTGCGGCTCACCAGGGCCTGGTGTTAGCACTGAGAGCCTCGTATCTAGGAAACCTAGTAAATTAGAACCACGTAATTAGAATTAAAATGACAATTTCTGCAGCTGGGAACAGGAGCTGAAAGTAGTTCTCCTTTTTCTTTGATAATTTTGATGCCACAAATTCCAGGTTTAGAGTCCTTCCGATTTTCTTGACCTAAAAAGAACAAGAGCTAAAAAATCTGCTTTCTGTTGACTTTAACGGATATTTTCCACTTACTCTGTTCATGTATAAAATGGGTATGATGTTGCCCAATTTCGTGAAATTACTCTGGAACTTTGATTGGGGCATATATACTATGTAAACTCAAGTTACAGAGTGGTCTAGATGATCAGAGTTGTGTCTTCAAAGGTAGCGAAAACTTTTGAGGTAATCTTCTGGCTAATTTAAGGTATTACGGATAATTGCCCTGATCTGAAATTTAGATTGTAGAATAGTTTTAAGTTCTTTATTTCATTTTGTTCAAGAAGTCACATTTCCTTAAGGAAATTTCTACTCAAGAAAAAGGCCTTGCTTATGCTGTCCTTTCTGAATTGTGGACGGCTGGCCAGGGTAAACTCAATTTCAGCTTGCTGTAGAAGACAGATTTAAAAGGGTTTAATAGGCTGATTCTCTTCAGTTCTAACACTTTTATTCTGAAATATTTTCTTCCCTCCCTCCCCTTCTCTCTCTCTTATTTTCTACCACTTCAGCTGCACCCACCGCCATCTTGCCTTGCCCCTCACCATAGACCGTTCCGCCTTCCCCTTCCTCCCGGGTCTCTCCTCTCCCCTCTTGGTGTCTCAGTTCTGTTATCAGCCGCCAGGGGTCAGCTTTTCAGCTGAAATCTTTTCTTTCATTGTTGTCCACGGTACTCACAGCGCTCTCTTCATCCCCAGGTCTTGGATTTGCACTTTGTTACTCTCCAGCTATCGCCATGGTCGGCAAATATTTCAGAAGACGGAAAGCCCTTGCGTATGGAATCGCCATGTCAGGAAGTGGGATTGGCACCTTCATCCTGGCCCCCGTGGTTCAGCTCCTCATCGAACAATTTTCCTGGCGGGGAGCACTACTCATCCTCGGGGGCTTTGTTTTGAATCTCTGCGTTTGCGGGGCCTTGATGCGGCCAATTACTATTAAAGAGGAGCGGCTAAGGCCGGAACAGAGTCAAGCCTGCCCAGCTCAGAAGCAAGACTGTAAGCAGGAGTCTCCCTGTTCAACGTTGACCAAAGCATGGACCCAGCCCCGCCTTTGTTGCTCCTTACAGCAGGAATACAGTTTTTTGCTGCTGTCAGACTTCGTGGTGTTAGCCATCTCTGTTCTGTTTATGGCTTATGGCTGCAGCCCTCTCTTTGTGTACCTGGTGCCTTACGCTTTGAGTGTTGGAGTGAGTCACCAGCAAGCTGCTTTTCTAATGTCCATGCTTGGGGTGATTGACATTATTGGCAATATCACGTTTGGATGGCTAACCGACAGGAGGTAAAATCTGCGAAACCACAATGGGTTCCCTGCTAGGGGACTTTTTAATCTTTAAGTATCCCCTCATCTCCTCATCCTATTGGATGTTAACAAGTCTTCAGTACCTGAAGGCAACTCCCTTGCTGGTCCTGCTAGTCAGAGGCTAGCAAAATTTTTCTGTGCAGGGCCAGAGAATAAACATTTTTGGCTCTGTGGGCACCGTACGCTGGCAAGCACCTGACGCTGCTGTTGTGGCACAAAAGCAGCCACAGAGAGTGAAAGGTGTGAGTGGCCACATACCAGTAAGACTTCTTTTATGGACACTGACATTTGAATTTCTCATAGAGTCTTTACATGTTGCAAAGTTTTATTCTTTTACTTTATTCCCCAGCCATTCACAAAATAGCAAAGTCATTCTTAGTTCACAGTGAGTACAGACCAGCAGATGGGCTGGGTTTGGCTTTTGTCAGCCCCTCTTCTAGATGGTTTGGCCTGGTGGGTATGTCAGAATTGCAGAGGCCTGCAGTAACTAAAAGTTCTGGGGAGAGATTAATTCCATCCTAAGTCAGTTCTCAGGTAAGATGACTTCTGGCTGGGTATTGTGTGCAGTTTCTTTTGAAAAACCCCAGAGACTATCAGTGGAAAGAAGAACAAAAGCCAGTTCAGGCAAGGGAATCAGGTGCAATAAAAATGCATTATCTGTAGTAACTTATTAATGCTTGCCAGTGCAAATAGTCAATCATTTCATTATCATTTTAATCTTAGAAACCAAAACTATAAGAACTGCACTAAGTAGTTTTTTTCTTCAGCATGTCTGTTTGGGTTGAAGAGAACAAGCCCTTCTTATTCCCTTAAGTGATGTTCTCTTCACACTTGAGCTGTGACCCGGACCAGCTGGTTCCTCACACTATGTCCTTAGTAATTAATTAGGCTCCATCTGCTGTTCTTTAGCTTTATGAATACACAATTTAGGATTTAGTCTACGTGGTTAATGGCTACAGAAGAAGGAAGAGAGCAAGGGGTGTGTCCACAATCAAATAACTCAACAAGGACCGGCGTGGTGTGGGTCTGATGGTGGGCTTTCCAATCTGAGATATACAAAATCTAAGTTCTTGTGCTGACTCTATCCCTTATTGTCTCTGTCATCTGGGAAAACTCTCTTAATCCTCAAGGGTCTTCATCTGTAAAATAGGCTTGTGCAACATTTACCTGTTAGTCTTGTACCATTTTCTTTTTTTTAAAAAGATTTATTTATTTATACAGGACTGGGGTACAGGCCAGAGATGCGGAGGGTGAGAGGATTCACCAGGGACAGAGTGGGGAGCAGAACAGGCAGATCGACAGAGTACACTGCTGAGGGGAGCAGCGGGCGGGTCAGGAGAGGTCTGCCGCGCCATGTGGATCTCCTCCGGGGCAGGCGGGAATCGAACTCATGTGGAAATGACTTAAGCTTCTTAATGCAGTGCTTTAACCCGCTGCGCCACCAGGGAGGGCCAGTCTTGGCCCTTTTTCTAAGGCTCAAATGGGACTGTGGACAGACAAATGAAAAGCACAAACTCCTGGTGCTGATGTTATATAGTCTCTGAAATCATTGTTATCGCAGTTGGGTTTGGAGTTACTGAGTAACTCCAAAAAGAACCCTTCGGTAGGTCTTGATGTCAGACTTCGTCCTCTTCCCCTTAGTAGGCCTCCTTGGATTTCTGAGCATGTCTGATGTGCCAGGTACTAACGGATGACGTAGCTAAAGGCATCCAGCATGGTGGACTGCTAGGAAAATTAGTCCACTGATACTCTACATGTTATTTCACAACTCTCTTTTAAGTGACCCTCTGAGATAGGTAACACTCCCATTATGGCTAAATAAATGGAAGATAGACTTATGCAAGTAGTTAGATGATAAAACTGAGTTGAAAGTCCTATATTTCTAATTTTAGGGTATATATTATTTTCTAGCATACTTTGTTTTGGGAAATAAATTCTTGGATTTGTATAGACAAAAAGAAATACAGGCAGATAGACAACATAAGTAACACATAATGGGGAAGCCGCCTGGAGAAATCACCGCGATGCTAACTGCTGCATGGCCACGGTTTTGAAGCTGACAGGTCCCGGGGATCCCACACTCATCCTTGTTCCTCAAATCCACAGGTGTCTGAAGAACTACCAGTGTGTTTGCTACCTCTTCGCCGTGGGACTAGATGGGCTCTGTTATCTCTGTCTCCCGATGCTTCAGAGTTTCCCCCTGCTTGTGCCTTTCTCTTGTACCTTTGGCTACTTTGACGGTGCCTACGTGACTTTGATCCCCGTAGTGACGGCAGAAATCGTGGGGACCACCTCATTGTCGTCAGCACTCGGCGTGGTGTACTTCCTTCATGCGGTGCCGTATTTGGTGAGCCCGCCCATTGCAGGTAAGTTTCTAGAGAGAATTCCTGTCCTTCTCTTTGTTGCATTGATATGGAAACCGTGAACGCTCATGCAGACAATGAGTTTTGGTTGTAAGTTGAGGAAGAGTGAAGGAAGGAGGGATGCAAGGCCACCGAAACATCATGATCTCACCTATAGCCATGTTCTGATCTCTCAATCAAGTGGAGACCTGTGTCTATCTGGAACGAGGAAATTCCAATTTGGGGTCTTGATTTTATTCTACACTAATAATGGTAACAATAGAGTGAAGCAGCTGTTCATACTTTCAAATTAGTCGCATATATTCAGAGGGAAGCCTGGTGGGTGTACAGTATTTCACTGGCAACAGTGGGCCATGAGGCTGACGTAATAGGTACTGGTGTCCCAGTGGGGTATCTTGAGGCCAGCCAAAGGAGTTGGGGCCCTATATTCTTCAGAAACTATTGGTGGTATAGTTTTTATGCTAAGAGGTATTGTGGTAAAGGGTATTTTTTTTTTTTAATTTTGATGTAGCAATTAATCTGGAACTATAGGGAAGAAATAGGATTCCATGCTAATAGTTTAGGAACAGTCTGATAAAGTCCTGAACTAGGGCTTTACAGCAGAAATGGGAATGAACTCTGGGGGTGAGGGGACAGTTTTGGGAAAAGACAATGAATTTAGCATCTGGGGATGATTGAGTGAAAGAAGTCAAAGATAACTCAGAAAATAATGACCTGATTGGAAGAAATAAGTTGGCAAAAGTAGTTTTGCCAGAAACAATAATAACTTTAGTGTTTTTACATACTCAGATCTGAACTACCCACTGAAATGTTCAATAGAACTGTTTCAAGATGAAATCTAAGCTTTAGAGGGAGGTCAGATTTGGGAATCATCACATAAAGCATATAGAACGTTATAAACTTTAAGTTGCATTTGAAATTTAAAGCATGATTAAACCAGTAATTCTACAAATATTTATTGCTGTATACGCCAACATGGTTATCTGGCTTTGTCAGCATAGCAATGAACAGGTCAGAACTGGTTTCTCCTTCCAGAGAATGCAGTCTAGAGCAGTGTCTCTCAGCGACGTGATGGAACACTTGCATCAGGACTCAGAAACCCCCAAGGTTTTTGTTAAAATGCACATTCCTTGTCCTCCTTACTGTGATCTGAATTCAGCGGGGTGTGTACATTCCCATCTGTTTTCTGATGATGGTCGTGCACATTAAAGACAGAATAATTGGTCCAGATGATTCCCTCGTAAAGTAAAGCTCAGAGAATGAAGGTCTCTGTCGATAGGCAAAAGAGAAATGAGCTAAACATTTAACTAGGAGGTAGAAAGAGATTTTTTTTTTTTAAAAAGGCAGGATTTCTTAGTTGCTGTTGTGAATAGGTAGTTTACAGTAATTTCCAAATTCCAGCATTTGCTAAAGCCAGGAGACACTGGTCACTTAAATGTTGCAGATAGAATTTCCCGAGCAGTTAAAACTCCTCAGTACAGAACTATATGTTTAGTGCTTTATTTTTGAAAACTGCACTTGAAATGTACTCACACCCTCCCTTTATAGTCAATTATTGTCTTTACCTCCCTTCAAGAGCCATATAATTCTGTTAAAAAAAGTCACAAGTCATAAATGGAACTGAGTTTCCCAGATCCTTTTCTCAATCTGTGGCTTTTGTTTGGCAATCAGATATTCCCATTACCAGGTATCAGAGGATTAGAAGGTGAATTCTTATTGTAATAGTTCTTTTACCTAATTAACTTTTAAAATGTAACTCGCAGTATCTTCTGTTTGTTGCTACAGGAACACATAAGGAAATCATACAATGAAATGTTAGAGAGTAGTTTGGAATGCTGGAAACTTTGTGGGGCTTATTACAATGTCTGCTTGCCATTTTTGATTAGGGGAGAAGCCACATGCTTCTCTGATGAATATTTTTTTGGCATTATGTAAAGTTTGGCATTATGTAAATTTTTAAGAACTTTTAAATCACAATACAATTGTTTGCCAAGGTCTAATTTTATTCCATTTGACTCTCTGTTGTCAAATGGACATAGCATATGCCCTGCAGTGCTTAAAAATTTAGACCTATTGTAAATAGTGCTGCAATAAACTTAGGGCTGCATGTACCCTTTTGATTTAATGTTTTTTGTGTCCTTTGGGTGGATCCCTAGGATTGGAATATCAGGTCAAATGGCAGCTTCACTTTTAGTAGTCTGAGGAATCGTCATAGAGCTTTCCATAGTGGTTCCACCAGTTTGCACTCCCAACAGCAGTGTAGGAGCATTTTTCACCACATCCTGGCCAACATTTGTGGTTGTTAGTTTTTTTTTTTTTTGATATGGGCCTTTCTTACTGGTGTAAGATGGTATCTCATTATAATTTTGATTTGCATTTCCCTGATCCTTATGGGATGTTGAACATTTTTTCATGTGCCTGTTGGTCATTGCAATTCCTCTTTGGAGAAGTCTTTTAAGTATTCCTGCCCATTTCTTGACTGGATTGCTTGCTTTCTTTTTGTTGATTCATGTGAGTTCTTTGTATGTCTTTGTGATCAGTCCCTTATCCATTGTATGTAGTGCAAAGATGTTTTCCCAGTCAGTAGGGTATCTCTTTGTTTCAGTTAATGTCTCTTTTGCTGTGTAAAGCTTTTTGGTTTGATGTAGTCCATGTGTTTATCTTTTCCTTCATTTTCTTTGCTTTGGGTGATGAGTCTTTAAAGACTTTATTGCATGTTTAACCTATATTTTCTTCCATATTTTTTATGGTTTCAAGTCCTATGCCCAACTCTTTTACTCATTTTGAAATAGAAAATAAGAATGGATAAGGGAGGAAGACTTTTGAGAATACCTTTCATATAGTTTTGACTTTTACTATATGCAAAAAATGTGTTAAATCAATGAGGCAATACTGAATACAAAAACAAATGAACCTAAATGCTTATCAAATAGGTGACATGGAGATATTTTATGGATAAACTATTGTATGGGAAAAACTAAAACAAAAAAAATTAGACCTAGAATAGATACTGATGTTAATTTGTTGTAACTGGAGATATGATAGCAGGATTATACCTTCTGAAGTCAACATTTGCAATTTCTAAAATGATCCAGAATTTCTATTTTCAAGCTGGATGGCTGGATCCAAATGAACACTCCACTTTGCCCAGAAACATGTGGTGTTACAGTGCACAGGTGTTGGGAATACTTCTAGGATTCTGTGTGATCTGATTTTCTCAACACCCTGATAACTGGTCCCAACAGCAATCATTTGAATGATACTGTTTTTATCTTTCCTATGACATGCTACAGGATTAATATAATTACCCATTATCATGTGCAATTAAGAGTATGACATTCTTCTCAGAATCTGACATAACAGCAGTCCATTTTAGAAGTGAAAATAGTAATGGCGGTGCTAGCAACCTGTTGTGATTATCCTTGTAGTTGTCAGCTGTGAATAATTGAATTTTTGCTGCAACAATATAACTCTACTACTACTTATTCCAGGGTGGCTGGTGGACATGACTGGCAGCTACACTGCAGCATTTCTTCTCTGTGGCTTTTCAATGATATTTAGTTCTGTGCTGCTTGGCTTTGTTAGACTTGTAAAGAAGATGAAAAAACCCCAGCTGCAGCTCATTGCCAAAGAATCTGATCCCAAGCTGCAGCTATGGACCAATGGCTCGGAGGCTTTTTCTGTAGCAAGAGAATTAGATCAAAAAAACGGGGACTCTGTGGTTGCGGCAGTGTCTGGCTACAACCCCACATGACCATGGCCGTGAGTGAGCGTGGGAACGAATCTTCAGGGATGAGAGAGGTGGGATCATGTTTCTGAACACATTTGTACATGCTTTCAAGCATTTTATTTTGCAGAAGCATTGCTTTTCAAGAAAATCATTATTTTGTTAACATGCCTAATGGTGAAAGTAGCAAATAACAAAGTAAGTTGACTGGCTCAGAGTTTCCTCATTTGGGGTTTGGATTCACAATTTAACTCGCACCTTTTTGACGATGAGCTTCACTTCATGGAGGAAATGAAGACGTAACTGCTGTTGTCAAGTGGTCATTAGATGCTGCTTCAAGATTCGACTGAAGTAGATGACCCTGGGCTGTCTTAAACTCTCTGCCTCACTATCTTCCCTGCTCCATTAGGAGGTGAAAGGAAACACTAACATGAGTTTTGTTACTTAATCAGGCTGTTCTCAGAAGGAGAATGAGCTTGGCTGTGGTACTGGAAGGAAAAGCTGCCTAAACCTTTCTGTAGTGGAGTTTCTCATTAGCGACTATTTAATTTTTTTTTCTTTTCCCACTTGTTTTTCTTTCCTTTCCCTCTTATTCTTCCCTCTTCTTATTGCCAGCCTTTCCTCTGCCAGTGGGTAGATACCACTTTGAGACTCCAAAGAATCATGGACTACTATGGCTGAAGTAAGCCTTAAGGCTTGGCTGGTAAGATCGTCCTTAAAAGTTGTCCCCTGGAAACTGCAAATGCATTTCCTAAGACTGTGCCCTTGGTGTTAACCTTTGTGACCATTTCATATCGTACTTACTCTAAATTAAGGCAAATGTAGTGAGTCCCAAAGGCAACTTCTCAGTTTTACCTGTAATGTTGACACCAATACTTCCCGTATTTTTCATTAGAAATAAAGCTCTGATTTAAATTGTAGACACATTCCTGTTACGAACACAAAAATGTTGGCTATCTTCCAACCAGGCAGGGATTCAGTTCTTGAAACAGGTCTCTGGTGAGTGTTTGCGTTTTTTTAAAAAATCAGACAGTTAGGTTTATCATTAACCCAAAACAAGACATGTGTGATTTTGCCTGAAGAAAGGTGAGACTCCTTTCTGCTTGTGTTACTCATGGTTCCATTGTCCACTGGTCTTCATCTTTTTGCTGGATAATCATTGAAAACTTGGTGGACTTTTTCAGCTGAATGAGAAGGCTTCAGGGCTTGGCCTGCGAATCCTAAACCCTCTCGTTAAAGTGTAGCTTTGGTCAGGGACAATGCTCACAAACCTTAACTCTTCGGATTAGACTAATCTCTTCTATTCTAAGTGCTCAACTTTTCCAGGTTTGGGGTATGTTCTGTCATAGGGTGTGGAGAGAACAGAGAAAGGCAATCCCCAGTATGTCTCCAACCACTTTAAGTCCACAGAATTATAAATCTAAGTCACAACTCTTGTCACACCCATGAATAGGGATTTGTGATACAATTGAATGGATTTTCATTATTCAAAATTTAAAATCTTCATCTCAAGGAAAGATTTTGACCCTAAAGGCTATTGACTTCTCTATCACCCAGGAGGCCTCACAAATGCTTTCACACCTTCCAGGGGTACCCTGAGGAAAGACACAGCCGGGAGGAAGAGCCTGGGCCAATTGTTCATGTTCAGCTAGAGTTTTGTCTATAACTGTATTATTTCATGAAATTACATGTTAATACATTGTGTTCAGAATGAAATACTGACTTGATTTGGTGGGAGAAAACTGTATGTACTATTTCACAGTTGTTTCCCCCTAAAAATTTGAATGCTCCTTTTTAGTTTAAACATAGTTTGAGAATTTAGTTTTGAATCTATTTACTTTGTCATTTACAATTTAAATATAAAGTTTGAAAATATTTGTAAGAAGTCAAAGTTAAAATGAAGTTATATGTGTTCGGAGTAACAATTTCATGTCATTCATTTTTCAACAGTGTCAGTAACATTTAAGTGTCATTCTTAAATCTTAGAATCCAAAGAGTTTTTGAATATGACTATTATAAATATTATACATACTTTTTCCTATTGATGATCACAGTAAAATTTTGTGTGTTTCTGCAATTTAAGTTCTCTGAGTTATAAATATCCATGAAAAATACACATAGAGATCAGAACTTCTAAAAAATTGTATAAGATATTTAGGATAGTTTGACTTTATACTGTCATAAATTTATACTTTTCTTTTGGGAGCAGGACTTTTAGTAAGGAAAATGTAAATCTTTGAGTCTACCATTGTCATCTACATAAAATTCTACTGTTAAGATTCCATGTGCTTGTACTGTTTATTTAAAAACGTATGGGAACAAAATGGTGGTGAGATGATTCTGCATATTAAATTTGTATCTAAATTAAATTTTTAAAATTTATATTATTTATGTCTCCACTTTGAATAGAAAAGCAAAAGAAACTTCTGTAGAGACACTGAACCGTCAAGCCTTTTCCTGCCCAGATTGTGGTTTCACTAGTGGATCAGATACTTACTTCCTTATTAAGGAAATAATGTTATTTTCTTAATAAGGAAATATTATTTTCTTAATAAGGAAATAATAAATATTTATCTTAATAAGGAAATTTCAAAAGCATAATAAAGTGAATTTCTAATTGTGTTTGGAAAACCCTTTTTGCTATGCACAACAGGTTTGGATTAGATGATGTGTGGGCCTGTCTGGGTCATGCTAAGTTGTAGTTGGCATATAAAGATATGATATGCAATCAAATAATTTACAAAAATCAGCCATTTATGGAGGACTTCTAATGTGTTAGCTGCTGTGTATGCACATCCTGTACACTGTTATGTTCAGTCTCCGTAATAACCTCCGTAATATTACTGTCCTCATTTCATACATGTGGAAACTGAGGCACCAGGCCCCACAGCACGTGTTGCAGCAGCCACTGCACACGAGGGCCTCAAGTGCAACCTCTGGAACTAGGCAGCTTTTTGATGCTGGAGCCCAGAGCCTGCCTTTAGTGGCTACTTGGAGCCTCCTCAAGAAGCCACTTAGAAACAACCATCTTGTGCTGTTAAACTGCTTTGGTTATGTTTCCCACTTCCAATTAGTATAGATAGGAAGGCTCTAGGTTGGAAATTTCAAAGAACTTTCTCAAGAGTTTGATTTTAGAAAGGTCAGTCCTTACAGGCATTTAATTTGCTATCTGTGATTCAAGTTTCTCTCGGGAAGTATTTGTGTTATCCCAAAAGTGACTTCCACTTTTGCATACCAAAGTCATGCTTTCTTAATAGGACTTGAGTTCTTTCTGAAGTGTCTGTACCATTGGCAGTAGTGATGATGATAGGAATATCTGATTGGCATTTATTTTCCTGTTCCCCATGGGTCTAGTTCTGAAATTGCATTTTGAGATGGAATAGTAGCAATTCAAAATAAAGAGCTGAGTTTCTCTTCTCACACTTCAAAGTTGGAGTCTTGTTTGTGTGTGTGTGTCTTCTCACTACACAATAGATTCATTTTTCCTCTGGATTTTTCTGTATGTTGCTCCCAGTGAAAAATGACTGGGTTTTGCCACATAACACAGAGAAATGTTGGGTGGAGAGAACAGGAAACTAATAGTGATTAAAAGACTGACATTTAAAACAAAACTCTTGGGCCCTCCCTGGTGGCACATCGGGTTAAAGCACTGCACTAAGAAGCTTAAGCCACTTTTGCATGAGTTTGATCCCTGCCTGCCCCGGAGGAGATCCACATGGCACGGCAGATCTCTCCTGACCGGCCCGCTGCTCCCCTCAGCAATGTACTTCGTTGATCTGCCTGTTCTGCTCCCAACTCTGTCTCTGGTGCAACACCTCACCCTCCGCATCTCTGGCCTGTACCCCAGTGCTATATGAATGAATAAATAAATCTTTAAAAACAAAACAAAACAAAACTCTCTATTATGGAACTTTCCAAACAGATTCAAAAGTAGAAAGAAAAATGAAAGAGGCTTGTACCCATCTACCAGCACCTACAATTACACACGATTTCCCTGTCCCTGGCTGAAGCTATTTGAAGTATGTTGACAGGACTTGTCTTCTTTTAGCTGTCAAGCTGTCTTGACCTTGACAAGAAGAATTTGTTTATGCTGCTGAGGCTATGGGTGATGGTTGGTGCCTCTAAGGGTCCATTACAAAGTGATTGGGCCCCTTTCTAGCTTGGGCTTTGGATGTCTGAATTATAAATTAAAACTCTTCTCCTTTTCCCCCACCCCTCCATGCATCTGCCTATTTGAAATTTAAGGATGAATCAAGTAAATGAAAATTGATTTTAAATTCTGGGTGACAGTGGTCATTATTACTCTTATATATGTACTGGAGGTCTCTTTGAGGGGCCTGAGAATTAGTGTTTGGCTAAAATAAAATAAAAAGCACTTATTTTGGGGCACTTATTTTTGGATTAAAGTGAAGCACTGTGAAGCTGGCCTCAGCTGCTGAAGCCAGAGTTTGATCCGCAGCCAGCATCCCCTCCTGCCCTCTGCTCCCCTCAGCAGTGTACTTTGTAGATCTTCCTGTTTTGTTCCTACTCTGTCTTTGATGAATCCTCTCACCCCCCTCACCTCTGGCCTGTACCCCAGTTCTTGTATACATAAATAAATGAATCTTTAAAAAAACACTTTGTTTTTGAGGTGGTTAGTAGTGGGTCCACTTATTTGATTTGTCTTAAAAGATAGTCAGTGTGGTATTTTAAAGTGGAGTCCTTTTAAAGTTTCCCATAAATTGTTTTATGATGGCAGATAAGTCCTTTTTCACTAACAGGTGGGGTCCTCAGCTTAGGAAAGTGGGTCCCAGTTCTCATTTTCAGAGAGCTATTTTATAACTGCGTGTGGACAGAGTGTGGGTGTGGTTTAGGGTAGGGAAGAAGTTGGGAAAGGGATGCGTGGTTACCTGGACTTCTAGTAGACACCTCAGGGCTTTGGGTTCCGAGTTTGCCACCCCTGTCCAACCAGAGGTGGAAGAACATGAGCACCTGGTGCTCTCCCTGGTGGCGCAATCCATTAGAGCACCGCACTGTGAAGCTCTCTGCAGCCAGGGCAGCATGAGTTCAATTCCCGGCCAGGGAGGTGACCTATATGGCATGGCAGACCTCTCCTGACCCTCCTGCTGCTCCCTCAGTAGTGTACTTCATATATCTGCCTGTTTTGCTCCCCACTCTGTCTCTGGTGAGTCTTCTCACAGACCCCCTCACCCCCAACCACACCTCTGGGCTGTAACTCATTCTTTTATGCATAAATAAATAAACCTCAAAAAAAAATTTTTTTGGCACCTGGCCACAGTTCAAAAGGGGGAGGGAAAAACATTCTTCATCACAAAAGTTTCAGGTTCTGGCTGACATTCAGGACACACTAGACTATAGCTGACGAGATGGTTCAGGGCACAGCTCCTGCTAAACTGGACTTTCTCACTCTACTGAGAAGTCTTGTCCTGGCAGTTCCTCAGGGTATTTTCTACTTGTTGACCCCTCGGTATAATCACTTTGCACCCAGTTTAAATGTGACTTTCCTGGAGTCCTTCTTCAACTGCTGCCCGAATCGAAATTATATCCCTCACTATTGCACCCACAGATTCCTTGCTTTCATTGCACCCTGGTCTTTTCCTGCAAACATTATTTAATTTTAATGTCACAGTCATCACATATTTATTGTAAAATGTTATCTCCTCCACAAAACTGTAACAGACACAGGTTTCATGGACTCCACCTCCACTCCAGATACTGGAACTCCAAATCCCATCTACACCAAGGAGAAGCACGCTGGGACGTGAGGGCGGAGCTGAGCAGCCAGGTTAGGATAAAACCGGACATGTGGGCTTAGGGGCTCTCTTGGCCTGATGGTTCGTGGCTGGTCGTTCTGGCTCTTGATCCGTTTTCAGCGTGCTGGTGGAGTCCAGGTCTGCAGAACTGGTGGGATAGTCTAGTTAACTCGTATTTCTTTTTTCCCCCTGAGTTGTTCCTTTACCTTTCTCCTTGTAAATAAACCCATTATTGAACCTTTTTGTGTGTGTCTGCAGTACGATTAAATATTAAGCGCACAGGTGCGGACCCACAGACAGGCAACCCAGTTTACACTGAGGTGCCCTGTAACAAAACCACAAGCTTTTTGAGGACAGCGGTCATGTAGACATATTTACCACTGAGGCTGGTGCCTATCACATAGTGGGGACTCAACACATATTTGGTGAATGGATAAATGACTGATAAGAACAAAAGAATATGTGAATGGAAAAAGGATGCATGAAGAAATTGCAGAGAAGAATTGTAACACAGCAAGGATGGAGCTGATGGGAGGGTTGGGCTTGCTGAAGTTGCTCTTGCACCCACAATGGACAAGTTATGTTAGAAATTTCCATTGAGCTTCAAGGGGACCTTGATGGGAGGTGTCATGTGACCAACAGGTGCTACAGTGTGTTGAGTAGCATGGGGCAGGTTGGGGGTGGGAATAAGGGTGGGAATAAGGGTGGCAAAGAGCAGACTTAGTAGAAAAAAATAAAACTTTTGATTTTGAGGACTAAATTGAAAAATGATAATCACTTCAACCCAGACAGACTTAATTAAAGAACTCTGTTGTACTTAAGGAGCACAGGTCTGCGGATGGACCCCTCCTCACACAGGGGAGCCCTGAACTGAGGAAAGGGTGGAGCATGTGTTTCTCATGCTTGAAAGGATGGGTTTTCATTGGCAGGCACTGTAACAGGGTGGTCCCTAGGAAAAGGGGAAGTTCCAGGTTCCCTGCCCCTCTCAGAAGTAGGGTGGAGCTGAGAAGAGAAAAAAAAAAAAAAAAGAAAGAGAAGGAATCTGAGAGGAAGGCAACAGGATGGAGAGCCAGAAGGAGCCCTGAGGAAGCCACATGGAGCAGAGAGCATGTGATGAAGAAACCGTGCTTGTTTCTTGGCCCTGGTCTGGTGAAAGAGATGTGGGTGAGAGACTCGTGGGGAGGTGACTATGGCAGAGTTTATATTGATTTTGACTTTGCTCTTTCCCTCCCAGACTTGTCTGGCCATGTCTGACCCTTTTCTATGGGTCCCTGCCAGAAGGTGCTTTAGTCTTGCCGTGGGCTTCAGGCCTCGCTTTGGGCCAATCCCTTTTGGGTGGACTTTTACCCACGAGGGGATGGGTAACTTCAGGTGTTTGATTTAGAAATCATATTCTTTGTCTTACTCACTGTATTAAAGTCCCTTTTCATTAAAGTCTTATATGTTTTGTCTTGATGCGGTAGATGGCAGAACCTATTTAGAGCAGGCAGGTTTGGGGGTTCAGTGGTGCCCCTCTCCCTGCCCTGTACCAGCACTATCCAAGCTGCTTGAGTTTACATGAAAAGTTTACACTAGGAGCAGAAGTCCCTGCAGGACCAGAGTCTTTTGTTCCTGCCTGTGACAGTCCCTAGTAACAAGGCACTACTAAAAATTAGCATGTTGGCAAACACTTTTAAGAGCTGGTAAGAATAGTTAATCAATAAACAACTATTGAGACCTCATCCGAAAATGTAACAGATGATTAGGAATTAAAAATAGCACCCCCCACCCTGATCTGAAGGTTACTGCCTGTTGGCAAACTGAAATGTATGCAGGTGAGAACACCTCCAAGTTATTAAATGCTGACCTGAGGCTAAGGGCGCTGCATCCTCTGGGGACCCCTGAGGTAAGTCTGAGGAACCCAGCTTTTGGGTTAAAGAGGTTGGACTCAGTTTCCAGTTTTGTTTTTTTTTTAAAGATTTATTTATTTGTGCATACAGAACTGGGGTACAGGCCAGAGGCTCAGGGGCGGTGAGAGGCTTCACCAGAGACAGAGTGGGGAGCAGAACAGGCAGATGGACGAAGGACACTGCTGAGGGGAGCAGTGGGCGGGTCAGGAGAGGCCTGCCACGCCAGGCCATGTGGTCACCTCCGGGGGCAGGCGGGGATCGAGCTCATGCGAAGCGGCTTTAGATTCTCAGTGCTGCGCTTTAACCCGCTGTGCCACCAGGGAGGGCCCTCTCAGTTTCTAGTTTTTCAGGGGAAGAAGCCAGGTGTGGGGCAGCCACTTTGGGTGGCTCCCTGAGGCTCCCCTGGACACCAAGGCCAATGCAGAAACCAGCTGACACTGATTTCAACTTGCTCTGGTGAAGATTTCCTGGGCCTTCCAGGGTTGCAAAGATCTTGTTTTGAATTTGGCCTTTTAAAATGAAAGTCAGAAGTGTCAGGGCATGGAGTTCTACTTCTATATTTATAACAGGGTGGTCCCCAGCAAAAGGGGAAGTTCCAAGTTCCCTGCCCCACCCAGAAGGAGGGTGGAGCTGAGCAGAGAAAAAGAAGAGAAGAGAAGGAACCTGAGAGGAAGGAAGCAGGATGGAGAGCCAGAAGGAGCCCTGAGGAAGCCACATGGAGCAGCAAGCATGTGATGAAGAAACTGTGCTTGTTTCTTGGCCCTGGACTGGT